TTACATGAACAGAGTTTTATGCAACCAATCACTGTTGGACATTTTTAATCTAGCCTTCTTCCTCTCTTTCATGATTATAATCCATTTGAGAAGAAAAGAATATTACCCTTTAGAAAAGCAAAAACGCTCAGGAATGCTACTGAAAAACAAAACCCCTTAAGTTTTTGTAAAGTGTAAAAACACTAACAGGGTGAGGGACCAATTATTACATTCTGACAAATACAGGAAATAGTCTGAACTTTTCAACATGACCCTTTGGCACTAGTCATCAGGGGAGCTCCTGATATTTGCTTGGTGTCAGATAGATATTCATAGTTCACCCACAGGGCTGAACTGTGTGGACACAGGGAGTCCAGCATCAAACATTACAAATCCAGTGTCACAGAATCACTGTGGTTCACAGGTCACAAAATCTGCAGAACACACACCTACGCAGAATGCCAGCAGAGCTCATCATACCGTTAAGAGTGGAATCTTTCACTGCAGTGTTATGAAGTCCCTGTTTAATTTCCACTATTTTTTTTTGTTGTTGTTGTTGAGACAGAGTCTCACTATGTTGCTTTTGGTAGAGGGCTGTTATTATAGCTCACAGCAACCTCAGAACTCTTGGGCTCAAGTGATTCTCTTCTGTCAGCCTCCCAAGTAGCTGGGACTACATGTGCCCACCACAATGCCCAGCTATTTTTTATTGCAGTTGTCATTGTTGTTTAGCTAGCCTGGGCCAAGTTCGAACCCGCCACCCTCGATGTATGTGGCTGGCGCCATAACCACTGTGCTATAGGCGCTGAGCCTAATTTCCACTATTTTACAATAGGATATATAAAGCCTTTCCTTAAAAAGAAAAAAAGGAAAATTAAAGCTTCATGGAATCATGCAAACTTCACTCCTAGCACTCCCCTGCTTTCTCAGTGTTCAAAGCTGAGTGTTCAGTCCTGTGCAGACTCTGTGGCCAGTGTGAGCCACTGTGTCACTCCCAGAGCATCCTGAACATGGCACTGTCACCCAAGGCCACGAGAACACTGCTGAAAGTACCAACACAATTGACTTGGAGAACCAGTCCACCCCTTTAGAGGTAGAAAAACTGAGGCACAAAAAGGTTAAGTAACTCACCTATATTTACACAGTTCAGGGATAAAAATAGAAAAAAGAATAAATCAATCCTCCTCCCTGGCTCTTGCACTGGGCCCTAGACTCTGCTTTTTAATTGCTTTGGGTACATTTGGAATAGACGTTTATTTACATGATCCTTGTTTCAGTGACTATCAACTTTTTACTAGACAACATTTTTCTGGTGCAACAAAGTTACACTTTCTTAAAATGTAATTCTTTTGTTGCATATGAGAAATGTGTAGGGAAAAAAATGAGTAGCAGTAGTGGGCCAAATTCTCATTTCTGTTCCTATAATTCTTGGTCTTTTCAAGTATACAATGGAGGTGTAAGAATCTGGCCAGATGTGAAAAATCACCTGGAAGCTACAGGACAGACCCTTAAAATTAATCACCAGTACAGCTGTGGGGTGGAGGTGAGGAATACAAAAGAATTGAGGTATTTTATATGATAAACTGTCTTGTGGTGTGACTGGTGCACAAATTGGTCTTTTCTTTCCCACTCAAGTTAACAGAATCTAGCTACGAACATGAGTAAAATATGAACACGGACATGTCCTTAGGAGGAAAGTCAATGCTAAGAAGTTAGTGATACATTTTTGGTCCCTGAGAAGGCAGAACACGAAGATTCCATCCAATCCTGCTTGATGGGGGAACAGCCTCCTTGGTGTCAGATGTACTGAGAAAGTTCACTCCTTCAAACATGGAAGCTAATCCATATGGTTGAGAACAGACCTCACATTGGAATATTCTCCTAATTTCCTGCTTGGTCACAAGAAGCCTAAGTCAGGATCAAGTAGGCGGCAGAGAGGAGCAGTAGGCGTGGCTCTGTGAACCATCACAGCATTCTCTAGATTCTATTCTTCTAAATTAGCTGAGCAGCTTGCAAAAGGGGTATCATCTCCCAGCAAGAATTACGCGGCAGGTGAGCGACCTGTGCTCAACATCTGCTTCCAGGACTGAACATCTGTCTGTACCTGGGAGATGCAGCATCTCCAGGGCTTGACAGAAGTCTAGGAACTGGCCCGGAGAAGTCGAGCACGGTATTAACAAAGAGCCCAGCTGTTTAGGAAGAAGGAAGATGACAGGTGACATCTGAACAAATGAGAGGTGAAAGCCACAGAACAAAGACCTACATATTACTACTGGGATGAAACTTTTGGAAATAACAACTTGGCTTGAAAAGTAGGAATTGAAAGAATTGTTCTTACTGCTGAACAAAGTGCAGCAAAGTACATTAACTTCACTAACATTCTAATATGGAAAGATGGGGATGAGAGTCTGAGTAATCAGCCTAGCAAGGCTACTAGGAAACCAGATTCCTCCTGAAGTTCCCAGCAAGGGTACTGCCTTGCTCCACAAGCGTCAGGGAGCAGCCTGCCCTCCCAGTCCAGAGGGAGCAGAGAAAGTGGACCTGCAGACCAGAAAAAAAAAATGTTCCAGGTGTTGGGTGGGGTTCAGAATCCTTAACTGACCTTACACTTCATCAACAGAAGCATCTTTTCAAATGCAAAGATTCAGATGAGAGAATAAGGCATTGTCTGAGTAGAAGTGGGAAGAGAGGGTCTATTTAAGCATCTATCAAGAGCATATCTGCCAATTGCCACCAAAAACTTTTGATTTTAGAGGAAACTGGAAAACAAGCATACAGGAGGATTGCGGTTTTTTCTCAAAGAATAGTATAATAATGAAAAGGTTCCACGTACATTTACTTTTGGAAAGACCCACGAGAGACCTATCCCCATTCCAAGTGCAAAGCATTTTTTATTCCTTTGCATTTCCAAATGAATTATAAAAACATGAATCTGTAAAATAAATGTTATTCAGTCAGAAGTGAAAAGCTCTACGTTAAGGTGAAAATTAGACCATTTGATGCTGGCCATTTCATTTGCTTTGAGGCCAGTATCACACATTTGAAAAACGATGGATGACAGAAACTTTGCTCCACTGGAAGAAAAGATGAAGTATCTGGGGAATGAGTATAAACCTAGGAGAGTCTAACTGTCTCAGGGCCAGTTCTCAATACTTTGAGGTTTTATTTTACACTAAGAAAAACATAGGAAATACCATCCACCACCTCTGAGTATCAATGGCATAAACTGTGAATTAAAAATACAATAACATTCACCTACCAATGGATGCGTTTAAACTAAGCTTCACATGGAAGCTGTAGCAAATAATTTCCGCATGACAAACATACGTTCTTATTATACTTGTTTACCCACAGATATTCTTTGAGTACCTTGAATTTCTTGGGTAGGAAGGTATTTTTATGCTTAAAAGTATATTGATATGGGCGGTGCCTGTGGCTCAAAGGAGTAGGGCGCCAGCCCCATACACTGGAGGTGGCGTGTTCAAACCTGGCCCTGGCCAAAAAAAAAAAAACCTGTGCCAGAAAAAGAAAAAAAAATGTATATTGATACTTCTGCATTATTTTTTATTATTTATTTTTTGAGACAGAGTCTCACTCTGGCACCCTGGGTAGAGTGCTGCAGCGTTACAGCTCACAGCAACCTTAAGCTCTTGGACTCAAGCAACTGTCTTGCCTGTTTTTTTTCTTTCTATTTTTAGTAGAGACAGGGTCTCAGTGTTGCTCCGCTGGCCGCAAACACCTCACTTCAAGCAATCCACCCTCCTCAGCAACTCAGAGTGGTGGGATTACAGGCCTGAACCACCACACCCAGCCTACACTGTATTTTCAGAAAGTTCCGTTTAATAAATTAAGGCCTGCTTTCCTAAAAAATACTGATAATAAAAAAACAAACCTTTAACAGCTGATAAACAGTAACAGGATTTTAGAGCATTTATTAATTATCAGTTAATATAAGATTTTTAAAATGTTTTAATAGTTTTGTTGCTGCTCTTAGTTCACAAATCACTGACAACCCTTGTACTTTTAACTTACAAAGGCATTTTTTTGCTCTATGTAAAGCTAGTGTCACTTTATTTAGTCTCTTTGTTTAACACTTTAGGGAATTATTCTCTGAGACTTTAGTAATGTTCCTTTCTTTGCCTAGAAAAAGTTTTTTTCTTATTAACTTTCATTGTGTATTATTATTATTATTATTTTTGAGACAGAGTCTCACATTGTCGCCCTTAGTAGAGTGCTGTGGCATCATAGCTCACAGCACCTCAAACTCTTGGGCTTAAGCGATTCTCAGGCCTCAGCCTTCCCAAGTAGCTGGGACTACAGGCGCCTGCCACAATGCCCAGCTATTTTTGGAGATGGGGTCTTGCTCTGGCTCAGACGGGTCTGGAACTCTTGAGCTCAGGCAATCCACCCGCCTCAACCTCCCAGAGTTCTAGGATTACAGGGATGAGCCACTGCACCTGGCCCTTTAATTGGATTTTACTAATTTCATGTTCTACTTCACCCTTGTCCCCTATCCCCTTGGTGGTGACCCCAACTTAGATGTACATGATACTGCTGTGAAATGTTGGCCTCACTTCATCCTGTGTCCCAATTAATACACACAGCTTACTGCCGACAGAAGAAGTATTTCTTCAATTCAAATACTGGCATAATTGGTAGATACCTTGCATTTGGGGCATACAACGAGAGGTTAGGTGAGAAACTCTAGAATACTCTGTCATTAAATAAAAAAGAATATGGCTAGATTAACAGTTTTCATTTTTGTTAGAAACTGTTTTAAAAAGTAAGTAGTACAATTTTTTTTTTTTGAGACCGTCTTACTTTGTTGCCCTCAGTAGAGTGCTGTGGCGTCACACCTCACAGCAACTTCTAGTTCTTGGGCTTAAGCGATTCTCTTGCCTCAGCCTCCCAAGTAGCTGGGACTGTAGGTGCCTGCCACAACACCTGGTTATGTTTTGTTGCAGGTGCCACTTCTGTTTTAGCTGGCCAGGGCTGGGTTCAAACCTGCCTCCCTCAGTATATGGGGCTGGTGCCCTACCCACTGAGCCACAGGTGCTGCCCTAAGTATGACAATTTGTAGAAACTGGCCTAAGCCTGCATGTGTCCTTAAACTTGGCCCTGTGTGACAGGACCTCAGTGTACACACTATGAGACAGTTACTTCCTCTTTTAACAATCCTATTATAAGTTAAATGATTTATTCTGAATGGCAATACTTGCTGAAGAGAACGTGGACATATTTGACACACAGATTGAACACAAACAGAATGCCTCGTGCTACTTAAATCAACTGTCTTTAAATGGACAACATTTAAGCTACATGCAGAGTGGATCAGTTTGCTCTGATGGGCCTTTTGTCTTAACTGTTTTCCTAGTGAATAAATGTTGTGTGACACATAATGACATTTGGGTCAAGGACAGACCACATATATGGTAGTGATCCCATAAGATTATATCAGTGTTTTTGCTGTTCCTTTTCTTGTTTAGATATGCTGAGATACAAAAAATACTTAGCAATGTGTTACAATTGCCTACAGTATTCAGTACCGCAGCCTACTGTGTGGTTTTGTAGCCCACAAACACAGGCTATACTATGTAGCCTAGGTGTGTAGTAGGCTACAACATCCAGGTTGGTGTTAAGTGTACTCTGATGTTCATAAAATGACAGAATCACCTAATGACACACCTCTCAGAACACACGTGTCATTAAGTGATGCATAAATGTACTATTATTTCCAATAGCTTTACACATTTATAACTTGAATATTGAAATACTAAAGTGTCATCAAGGAGGTTGCATTATTATAATCTAAGAGAACATATACACAATAATAGTCAAAGTAAGTGAACAATTCAAATGATAAAGGCACTGAAATTGACTTGAGCTATTGAAAAGTCATCCTGCCCACAGTACACTACATCAACTCTTCTCTCTCCATCTGCCGTTAAAATGTCTTGGAGTAAGTGGGTGGGAAACTCAACTTGTTAGTGGATTAAAAACAATTCAGTGTATATACTTCTTATTTAGACAACTTACTTAAATGTTAAACATGCTCAATGCAAACTAACACAACTACAGACACATCCATTGCTGTACAGAGCCAGACATCAAGACGTTTCTTCACTTCCAAAGGCTTCTTCTAAGTAAGGATATCTGCTCTCCTGCAAAGACTAACCAGAAAGAGCCCACCTTTTTCTGCTTCAATAATGTTAAAATATTTTAAAGGAAAAGAGTATTCATGAAAGCTTCCAGATTAATGGAAATGAAAATGAGATTCGTCTTGTCAGAGAGAGATGGTGCCAGGCAACGCTGGGCGACTATGGACTTCGGAGGCCTGAGCCCCGCTACCCCATCCACCGGCCCACCCATTATACAGGCAACTCTAACATTAGCGATTGAAGGCTTCTTCCACTTCGCGTCCAGCCAGGAGCAGAAACCACCTCCAGTAAGGCCAGGAAACCACCTGTTCCTCGAGCTACCCAACCCCTCACTGCATCCTAGTCTGTTTTCATGTTTGATTTGTTCATCTCCCCGAGGTTGAAATTGAATTCTTTGAACACCTGTATCAGGACGATCCCCACGGACACGGTCGTGAACCCGCAGGCCATGCCCAAGAAGTCCACCAGCCCCACGTTGCTCCACTCCCGGAAGAGGATGGCAGAGGCCAGCAGGACCAGCGTGGTGAACACGACGTAGTAGATGGCCCCGAACACGGAGGAGTCGAAGCACTCGAGTGCCTTGTTGATGTACCGGAACTGCACGATGATGCTGCAGCCCAGCACGGCCAGGAGCACCAGGCACAGGCACAGCGCCCTCCGGCTGGACGGGTTGTCATGCAGGATGTCTTGGGCCGCCAGCCCGATGCCCTTCGTGGAAGGCACGGTGAAACTCCCCAGCAAGGAGCAGATGCTGATGTAGACCATGATGTTGGTGGGCCCGTGGGCTGGCGCGATCCAGAAGATGAGCAGCAGCAACATGAGCAGCACGACACACAGGTAGCCAACAAACACTGGAGAAGAGAGCGCAGGCTGGGCGGAGCTCTGCACCCGGCCTGCCTCCCTCCCACTGGGCACAGCACTGCACCCCCACCTGCCTCCTTCACACTGGGTAGAACACTGCACACCCACCTACCTCCCTCATGCTGGGGCAGAGCCTAGGGAAAGAGCAGTGCACCCACCTGCTTCCCTCCCACTGAGGCAGAGCCCAGGGGCAGAGCAGTGCACCCCCACCTGCCTCCCTCCCACTGAGGCAGAGCACTGCATCCCACCTGCCTCCCTCCCACTGAGGCAGAGCCCAGGGGCAGAGCACTGCATCCCACCTGCCTCCCTC